CTACTTTTTACTTTTACTTGAGTAGATTTTTAGACTGGTACTTTTACTTGTACTTAAGTAAAATTTAATCAATGTACTGGTACTTTTACTTGAGTAAAATATTTTCATACCCTTTCCACCTCAGCTTTAAAGTGAATTTTACTGCACAACTATAGAGTTAAAAAAATTAATAAAGGGTGTAAAATATTATGTTTTAAAATTTTTTAAATTTGTCACCTTTTTCACCCGTGATGAGTTTGCATCCCTGCAACACACACACACACACACACAGACACACACACAACCTCATGCACACATATCACGTAAACGTGATGCACGTTATACATTCTCCTCCCCCTTCACATCTGTCGTAATAATTTACATTTATATTTTACCTTTGCGGTTTAAATAAACCATACATATCACATATTTCAACAGGGTATCTTGCTTTATTAATATTTTTATGAATGCCTTAATTAACAAACATAAGGGCAGATCCCTTTAGTGCAGCTGATGACACTTTTAAGTGACGCTTGAGTGGTCAAGAATATTCCAGTGTTCATCCTTTGATTCCTCCGTCCTCATTTCCTTTCCTTGCATCCTTGCCTCGTATCCTAAGGGGGTGGAGCTAAGACGCGAGGAAAGGAAACGAGGAATTGAGAAGCACCCTGGGAATGTTCTGTGTGTCTGCGCTCCGGTTCAGTGCTGTCAAAATAAAAGTCCTGATCTCAACACTCATGGGCCAAACAGAAATCTCATCAGCTGATGCTGCTAATTAAAGACAAACAGCTGCTGGCCCTGCAGATGAATCAGTGTGTGATCTGAGTCGTGCTGAAGGGCCTGTCTGACGTCACAGTGCTGCTGCTGTTTAATGCCTCACAGTGATTTTACCACGCTTCAGGGAGTTCTTACCGTGGTAAACCACACACGGCCTTGAGTGCTAGAAATGCTTTTAACAGTACAGCTGATGCTGTTTGATCTGAATGTGTGATGTTCACCTGCAGGAGGCGCACCGTACAGCGACACGGACGCTCCTGAAGAGCCTTCATCACAGGTGAGGGACACAGAGTCACACACACACACGCAGTCACACACATGCAGAGTCGCACGCACACACTCACACACAGAGTCACACACGCACACACACAGTCACGCAGAGTCAAATACTCACACATAGTCTCTCTCACACACACACACACGCAGTCACACACACGCAGAGTCGCACGCACACACTCACAAACAGAGTCACACACGCACACACACAGTCACGCAGAGTCAAATACTCACACATAGTCTCTCTCACACACACACACACGCAGTCACACACACGCAGAGTCGCACGCACACACTCACAAACAGAGTCACACACGCACACACACAGTCACGCAGAGTCAAATACTCACACATAGTCTCTCTCACACACACACACACGCAGTCACACACACGCAGAGTCGCACGCACACACTCACAAACAGAGTCACACACGCACACACACAGTCACGCAGAGTCAAATACTCACACATAGTCTCTCACACATATACACACACACACACGCAGTCACACACACGCAGAGTCGCACGCACACACTCACAAACAGAGTCACACACGCACACACACAGTCACGCAGAGTCAAATACTCACACATAGTCTCTCTCTCACACACACACACACGCACACACACACACACACAGTCTCACACACACACACACGCAGACACACAGAGACACACACACACACACAGTCTCACACACACACACACGCAGACACACAGAGACACACACACACACACAGTCTCACACACACACACACGCAGACACACAGAGACACACACACACACACAGTCTCACACACACGCAGAGTCGCACGCACACACTCACAAACAGAGTCACACACGCACACACACAGTCACGCAGAGTCAAATACTCACACATAGTCTCTCTCTCACACACACACACACACACACATGCAGTGACACGCACGCAGTCACACACACACGCAGAGTCACACACACACACAGTCTCACACACACGCAGAGTCAAATACTCACACAGTCTCTCACACACACACGCAGTCACACACACAGTCACACTCGCACACACGCACAGTCACACACACACACACACACACAGTCTCACACACACACACAGAGTCACGCACTCTCACACAGACACACACACACTCTCTCTCTCTCACACGCAGAGTCACACGCATACGCAGAGTCACACATACACTCACACACACACACACACACACACACACACACACACACACTCAAACACACACACACACACACACACACACAGGTGTTAATCAACGCAGACGAGTGTGTCTGAAGCCTCAGATACCCATGATTCCTCTGTGTGACTGGACACATGATCACATGTGTCTCTCTCTGGTCCTGTGAGGTGTGTTGAAAAGTGGAGCACAGCTACAGGTTAATATTGTGAACTAAAGCTCTTAAAAAAAATTGTGTTAATTAAAATGAAGCTATACAATAATATATAAATATTTAAAACATAAGCTAAACAAAAATTAGAAAGGTTCCCTTGGCAACCAACTGAAATAAGTTGAATTACTGAAATTTACTAATGGGATATCAATAAAAATAAAAAAATTAAATCGAGCAAAACTGATAAAAATGGCAAAAAATAACTAAATTACAATATATAAAATAAAAGCTAATCAAAATATTAATGAAAATGTAATAGTATATAAATGATACTTAAGTAACGCTGCAGAGGTGCTGTGGTTCAGGAGTCTGTCGTCTGTCTCCTGCAGCGTCGTGTTTGATTCATTCACAGATTAAGAGCTAAAAAAGGCAGCAGGAGAGTTGCGGCGAGCGTGTCTCCATGGTGATTCAGAGCCACAGTCAGTCACGTGTGTTTCTGTCAGAGCAACAGGTGAGCGACGCTCTGCTTCTGAGTTACAGTAGAGCTGCTGTCCGCCACAGGGCATGCTGGGAGTTCTGCTCTGTGTACGTGTGTGTCAGACCCGGACTCATCAGAACACACAGACAGCAGATCTGCTTTTCTCTCTTCAGATGGAGCGCACTGTGTGTGTGTGTGTGTGTGTGTGTGTGTGTGTGTGTGTGTGTGTGTGTGTGTGTGTGTGTGTGTGTGTGTGTGTGTGTGTGTGTGTGTGTGTGTGTGTGTGTGTGTGTGTGTGTGTGTGTGTGTGTGTGTGTGTGTGTGTGTGTGTG